ATTGGGAACTTTGATAAGAAGTTAATTCTAGCCCTTTCTCCACCCGGCCACATGTCCACATCATCTCTGCAAAAATATTCTTTCTAGGCTCCTATAGCATCTAGGTAGCTCAAAATCCTGGTGATAAAGCAGATACCTAGCAGAGGAATGAGAAGTGAATCGCGCCATCTTGTAGATATCCCTAAACTTTATGTACAATTCTTTTAGGATCCCACTCCCTTGGCTTTGGGAATCAAGTACCACTCTCTACCATAGTTATAAGAGATAAGTAGAGGGGATAGGTTCTTTTTACATACACTGTACTTCCTCAAACGTGAGCCCAGTCTCCTCCTTCCCAGTACTACACTACCCTTCAATTATTTCAAGGTAAGAGCAATCAAACCCGTTTACCCTCTTTTTGTCCTTAGGGCACATGAGTTCCAAACTAAAACTCTTGTATTCTAATTTAGTCTTGCAAAAAATTTTAAATTTTGTTCTTAGCAGTTTCTTGTCTATCTTCAACTCCCTCCCAGAAAACTCTAAGGGACAAGAAAATATCTCAATCAATACCTCATAACATTTTAGTAAAGATAACATCATTTTAACAAAGGGGAAAAAAGAAAGAAAACCAAAAATAAAAATAAATTTAAAAAGACAACATCATTTCCAGGACAATTTTTACCTATCTTTAAAACATCACTTTATTATAATCAACTTCCTATATAGCATAATATCTGATGTGGAACAATATACAAATGTGTCTTTTCATCCAGGAAAATGTGGTGGTTTCAAACAAGGCTTGTTCCAGATGGGTCTAAAAGACAACAGCAAAGCATTTGGCCACTGAAAAAAAATAAAACCCCACTTGCTAAAATTTTGTAGTCAATGATTATGTCACATTGGTTTCTCTACTTTTAGAGGATTCTTTCTAGGTGATTCTTAATTTTCATAGAAACTTTTCTGTGTTGTTATAAATACAGTCCCCTGAATGAAAAGCAATTCAGTTGTAGATGCATTTAGTGAACAAATATTCACTAGTCACCCACTTGGTACAAGGAACCTAGTCACTGGGTATGCAAAGTAGAAAAAAGAAGATGTGTTGGATCCTTATGGATTTTAAAGACAAGTTGGCCTACCTAAGGAAAGAATTCAACTATGCCTACTCTTCAAATTTTGTTAGAAATCATCTAATAATGGTGAAAAAAATATGAGTAAACATTTATTGACAATTTATTAGGCTCTGTGGTAAGTACTTGATTTATGTGACTTACTTCTAACAATACATTTCACAAACGAAGCACAGAAACCTTGATAAGTCATTGACCCAAAATCACACATCAATTTAGTAGCACACAGGATTTTTATCCAGACAGTTCATGTTTCTAATCTGCATCCTTTCAGCCAATATCACTTAATAGAGCTATCTTTATGAAGAGTTGTTAACTGTGAGACAGAACACAGAAATCACTAGCATCCCTTTAAAAGACAAATTGTTGGGTGTGATTTTGTAATTCTAGCCTTTGGAGCTATATATTTATATATCTATTGCAAACACCAACAAGGAATGTATCTGCCAAAAAGAACTCCTTGTGGTTAACTGGACCCACACTCATCATCAGTCTAGCAGTCACTGTTTACAGGGGCCTCTTAGGCACACTGCATATCAGGGAAAGCTGCAGACTGAGCTGCCAAGCCTCCTTCATTGTGCTCCTACTGGCTGAGCCAACCTTTATAAAGGAGTTCCTGGAATCATATTTTGACCAGTGGGTTAAGACATGCCCTACCCGCCCTGTCCGGTTTGGCTCAGCGGTTAGAGTGTCGGCCTGCGGTCCAGAGAGACCCGGGTTCGGTTCCCGCTAAGGGCACGTGCCTCGGTTGCAGTTTGTCCCCGGCCCTGGCTGGTCGTGCGGGTGGCAGCCACTCGATGTGTCCCTTCACATCGATGTTTCTCTCTCTCTCTCTCCCTCTCTCTTCCTCCCGCTCTATCAGAACAAAGGATAGAAAAATGTCCTCGGGTGAGGATAAAAAAAAAAAAAAAAAAAGACATGCCCTACCCAATTGGAGCTATGTAGCTATATTCTTATTTGCATCTTTACAAACCAATCAGAGCAGCTTCATAACACCGAATCAGGAAGCACAGTTCCGACCAATTAGGACAGTGCTATTTGAACCAATCAAATTGTGCAAATTTGGATTCCTCATTTATATAAAAATAGAGCAATCAGGGGTTGGGGCATTCACTATTTATATATAAGTAGACTTCCCCTTTGTCTTGGAGCATACTTTTGGTTTCCACCTGAAGCTTTATTTGCCCTTTTTGAAAACTTCGCTTGAATGAAGTCTCTCTATGTACCACAGCCCAGATTGGGGATTCATGTTGGCATTGGATTGGTGGCAATGACCTTGTGTTGACACCATATATCCCTAAAAGCATATATGTGTATATATATGTAACTTTAGCTCTAAAATCTCAAGGTATATATGCACTAGGCATACATTCTTCCTTTATTTAATGTCCTAGCCAGTTCAGCAGGATAGGAGATTACATAGGAGTCTGGAGCCAAACCTAAAGGCAGTGAGCATTTGTCTGGCCTCTCCTGCCTCAGTGCATACAACTCATTTAGTTTATCACAAGCAACACTTACTAAATATTTTTTTTATAACAGTACCACTTTTCTAAAAACATCTCTATTTCCTAGCTGTGATAATTTTTTTAGTTATTTCAAGTTGGAGAAAGAAACATTTATACTCAAAGTTAGTTTCAGTCTCAAATTTAGTTACTTCACTTACCCACTGCTTATTTTTAATATATTTTTAAAATATTCACATCAAAAGGCATAAGGCTTTGGAACTGACTTCTGCATATTATGTCCTTAACCTCTGAGGTCCTTCTAAGGAGATATTTGTAGGGGTGGTTTGGAAGGTTTGGAAAGAAAAGTAGGAAATAAAAAGGCTCCTTTTCTGCAGACTCTGGTATTAAAAACATCACATATATTTACATTAAATGGCCAAGGTCTAATCACTAGACTTCTCCCATGAAGATTTACTTTACAGATCATTTGGAAAACACCAACTGTGTTCAGAAAGGTACCTCCTGCCTGGCCGGTGTGGCACAGTGGTTGAGCATCAACCCATGAACCCAGAGGTCAGCCCATTCTATTCCCAGGGCACATGCCCAGGTTGTGGGCCAGATGTTCACTGGGGGGATGCAGGAGGCGGCCAATCGATGTTCTCTCTCATCGATGTTTCTATCTCTTGATCTTCTTTTCCTCTCTGTCTCAAATCAATAAAGGAAAAAAGTTTTTAAGAAAAAAAGTGATTTGATGTTGTGTGTGTTAGGGTCTGGCTGGTGACATGGGCTTGTGAGAGAATTCACAACAGACAAGAGGGAGGAAAATGTAGGAAACTTATTTACTTTCCCCATAGTCCGGGAAAAGATCCATGCATTGACAGGCAATACAAGGAGAGGGAAGAAAGAGAGAGTTGCTCTTTTATTAGGGGCTTTAGGGAGTAAACAGATGAGAGGGTGGTTTGCCTTGAGGAGTTGAAGTTCATTTTCTCCAGGGGACAGATGCATTAGTATGTGCTTATCAGCATCTTTCCCATGTCTGCAAAACAAGCTTAGAAAAAAAAGTTATAAAGTGTTCAAAGAAGAGAGACCTGTTTGGGGGCAGGGGGGTGGGCAGGAGATGGAATTCTTGCTACCTCGCCTGTAGCTGTTAAAACAGCAGGGAGGAGGGAATGGAAAAGTACAGCCTTGATGCCTTATCTGCTCCTGCTGTTGTTTGAAAAGAGGAGGGTTTGAGTCACAGGAGCCAAGGAAATCTCAGGGTTTAACTACCAGGTGCTTTTCATAAGTTGTGGAAAAACCTAACAAAAGAAAGGCCTGTTTTCTGTCCTTACAATGTGGAACCAGAGAAAATATTTTCTGTGTAGTACAGGTGAGCATAATCAAACAATGAAGCATTTCTTTCAAAAATGAAACCTCATTAATTTTTTATTTTTTGAGGCATGCTGATTTTTTTTAAAAAGAAGGAAATTAAGTCATTGGGAAGGCTATATACAACCTACTTCTTAACTCCTTGCCTCTCTTTCTGACCAACCCCTGCTCCCTCCCCATCCTAGTCTTCATTCTAAATTCACTTGAAAGGTATGAAGTCAGGGGACACGGTGGGGAGTGGTGGCTGTGCTTGTACACGGTGTGCGTCTGAGTGCGGGGGTGGGGGCTGGAGGCCAGAGAGATGAGGACAGAAAGCAGAAAAGGCCAAAACCAGGGCCTGGGGCAGGAATGGAAGGGGTGGAGGGTGTTGCAGAACCTCCTAGGTAAACAGAGAAGGGCAAATTCCAATCCCACGAAGGTGATGCCACTTGTGGGCCTTCAGACTGGAGAGCACTGAGAGGAGTGAGAGCGGCGGTGCACGCTGGGCTCCGGAGCACAAACCCCCGGAGGGGGTTGTAAGTGCGTGTGCACGAGGCGGGAGAGAGGGCGTGCGCTCCCGCCACACTGGCCGCGGGAGTTGGGGGCAGCTCGTTGGTGACGCACGGCCCTCACGTGACCCCGAGCTGCAGAGCAGCGCAGCCTTCAGTGCAGTCGTCACTCCCTTCTGGGTACCAGCTCCCGGCTGCGCGGCGCACGGCGGGCTGGCCTCGGCCGGGCAAGCGGAGCAGGTAAGGGCCCGGGGCGCGCGGGGGCCAGGGCGGCAGCCGCCCCCAACCCCGGAGGCCGGCGCGGGGGGTCGGTGCAGCGGTCCCTGCCGGCTCTCTCCACTCCGGCGGTCTTGGGAACTTAAACAGTGACGCCCTGGGGTGGGGGTGCTGGGGCGGCGGGGTTCCCGGGAGCGCAGCGGAGCGACTCAGCGATGGGAAGTCGCCGCCGAGTTCCCGTGGGGACTTGGACAAGCCGGTCGGGGCAGAGGGCGGAAGACGCCGGCCGGCGCGGCTGGGCGGGGGTCCGGGCAGGGTGGGCGCCGAGCCTGGGCTGCAGCGTCCCCCGCCCCCCGCCCGGCCCTCTGCAGGTCTTCGGGTCCCAGTGTCGCGGCGGCGCACTCGCGGCGAGAATCGGGAGGAGGAGCAGACAGCAAGGATAGGCCCAGGTGGGTGCGGGGTGCAGGGGTGGGGGGCGGGTGCAGAGCCCAGTCTGAGACACTCCTCAAGGTCCCCCGTCCACAGCTCCCCGTCCCCAGTCCTCCATTTTGCTGTCTGCTGAGCTCTGGGAAAGAATCCAGGGAAGGGAAAAATGGTGGGCTTTGGGGGAGGGAAGGAAAAGGAGAGATCTGGAGGGAGGGGCTCGAGTTGGAGGCCCCCTAGAGGGCGCGCGAAGCTCCTAAGGTGGGAAAAAATGAAATTAAAAAAACCTTTGATATCGGGGCTCTGAATCCTACTGGTCAGTGCACCAAGCATTCAGTCTCTCCTTGCCTTTGTCTTAGTTGTGTTAAAAGAAAATCAACCAGGAAAAAATCTCATCATGGCAGATATCCACCACGAAAACGAAGAAATGGAGCAGCCCATGCAGAATGGAGAGGAAGACCGCCCTTTGGGAGGGGGTGAAGGCCACCAGCCAGCAGGAAATAATAGACGAGGACAGGCTCGTCGACTGCCCCCTAACTTCCGATGGGCCATACCTAATAGGCAGTTCAATGATGGGATGGGTGGAGATGGAGATGATATGGAAATGTTCATGGAAGAGATGAGAGAAATCAGGAGAAAACTTAGGGAGCTGCAGTTGAGAAATTGCCTTCGTATCCTTATGGGGGAACTCTCTAATCACCATGACCATCATGATGAATTTTGCCTTATGCCTTGATTCCTGCTATTTTCCATAAGTTTAACTGTGATTCTCACTGTTGTTTTCTTTTCCTTTCATTTCTTGATATGCCTTTACTGATCCATTTGCTGAGAACCTTATGTAATTTCCATGTGTCAAGTGGGTTCTGTTACCAGCTTCTAATTGGATATTGCCTTGGCACACAGTCCTAAGTTTCTGTCAACAGTAGTTTCACACATTTGCATGGAAAAATGTAAAGTTAATAAAGCAGTTAAAAAGCAACCTATACATTTATTGTCTCATTAAAAAACATGCAGGGTGAGGCAAAAGTAGGTTTACCATTGTGAGTATGCCAAATACAGTTTATTCTTGTTATTAATTATTGTATTATTTGTCATATGAACAACTGTAAACCTGCATTTGCCCTACCCTGTATATTTGAGTCCCCCCCCAAAAAAAAATATGAACTCGAATCCCCCAGGGTGTCAATTGGGGAACATTTCTCTGTGGTGGGATAATATATGACTTGTTTCTTTTTATTATCTGTAGTTTTAGAAGTAAGGAAAACAGTTTTTCAATGAGTGAATGTAATACAGGTACATAATAATTATTGGTTCAACAAACTTAAAGAATAAACTTTAAATATCTTCCAGTCTTAGCTGGAAGAATAAACTCTCTTTTATTACAGATACAATTGTTTTTAAAAGAATCAGTCTTATGTAAAATAGGGAATAGTGCTTGCCTTATAGGCTGCTGAGTGGAATAGATGAGGTATAAAACTGTGCTGAGCTACCTCCCATGCAACTCCTCAGCATTTAACAGAACCCTGGCCCCCATGAGGTATGTGGGAAGGACTAAAGGGAGTTTTCACCCATCCTCATAAGTCCAGAGGGCAGAAGTAGGTGGGTTCCACCTCGTCATTCCTCTGATACCTGCAGTACTGCTCCCTTGATTACTGCCATCTCAATTGAGCATACTTTCCCTCCTGCTGGGTCCTCTTGCTGATGTGCTAGAATTGTCAAGGTAACAAAAACCCACTGTTTAATCTGGAGTGCTTGGTGAGTTAGATCCCCCTTTGACCTCTGTAGAAGTTTGGAGAATGCCTTGATCTTATCTTTATAGTTATGTTTATCAAGTGAACATCATTCCCATGGTTCTTGGTCTTAACAAAGTAACTTGGTTTTATTTTCATGCCCCTCTTCAAACAACTCAAATGTGAAGGCACTGGGGCCTAGCTCAGGAGACGCATCTAGATGTCTCACTGGTGTGTCCAGAATTGCACTACTTCAAAACACAAACAGGGTAAAAGCTTTATTTTTGCCTATGTTTCTACCCTTTTTGGGGATTTTCTCAAAAGAGCTTCTGGGCGGGCCTGCCCAACCAGTTTAACAGACTTACCCAGAAGACATGTAAATTATATTAGGGAAACATTTTAAAGCTGAAACACTCCTTTCCCATTTTTACCCCTACCACACCTGAAACATGAAACAGCTTTGTAAGTTCTTAAAAACAATACTGAATATTTGGCATTATCATTTTTGTTCGAGCGTGTGCCCTCCTCAAGACAATGATTTTGTCTTAATCATCCTGGAGCTCAGTTTCTAGTGTAGTACCTGACAGTAGATATTTAATTAGTTATTTCACTGATAATTAACTGTAATGGAGCTCAGGACTTTTCCTAACTGTCCTTTATAATTAAGTGGCATAAGACATGTAACAACTTACCTGGAAAGTATTACTTTTCATTTCCAAATGAACTTAGTAAGAAAATTCTCTAACCAAGAATCCATAATGTTTTTTTTTAACCTTGTATATGTCAGTGTTTACATAAACACAGACCACTTATATGGTAATCACCTAGGGAAAATGTTAAAGACATTTGACACTTCTTATTCTCAATCCCTGTTGTCACCCCTAAATCACCTGATCAGGAACTACTGTTTTCACCCATGCTCATGTTTTGACAATTCCTTAGGTGATTCTGATGCATCTGAGTTTTGACGACATAAGCATAGAGAAACAACAGTGATTACACCACTTCCAAATACTGATCTAAATTACCTTCCTTACTTGATTCTACAATGAATATACTTTTGTAAAATATAGTATCTCTAAAATTGGATTGCATTAAACAATCAGTGTATATATTAAAACTAGTACTGTTTTTATCTTCCCAAATGTCCTATTAATGCATGAATTTATTAACATTAATGAATCTAGTATTAATAAACAGTAATTATAAAATTATTAAATAAGTCAGGCATTAGAATTTCTATGCAAGCCTGTGCCTTTTTACAACTGATTTTTGACTTAATCACCTTGGAGCTCAGTTTCTAGCACACTATCTGATATATTACATATTTATTAACAATAATGCATTTAATGATTCTTTTGTTAATTTAATTATTCATATTAAAAAATTTCAAGTAACCATTGAGTCTTTGAGGGTGGTTAATTTTTTACACTCATGTTTTATTTTTTATTTATTATTCCTCACCTGAGGATGTTTTTCCATTTATCATTAGATAGAGTGGGAGGGAAGGAGAGAGAGACAAAGAAACATCCATGTAATAGAGCCACATAGACTGGTTGCCTCCCACACAACCCGACGAGGGCCCAACCGCAACCGAGGTATGTGCCCTTGACAGGAATTGAACCCGTGACTCATTGGTCTGTGGGCTGACGCTCTAACTGCTGAGCCAAACCGGTCAAGGCTATACTCATGTTTTTAAAGTTTCTATGAGATCCCCTGGGCAGTTTGGCTCAGCAGTTAAAGAGCGTCAGCCTGTGGACTGAAGGGTCATGGGTTCAATTCCCAGTCAAGGACACATACCTGGTTTGCTGGTTTGATCCCCAGCCTCAGTTGAGTCATGTGGGAAGCAAACAATTGATGTGTCTCTCTCACATCAATGTTTGTCTCTCAAAAAATCAATGGAAAAATATCCTCAGGTGAGGATTAACAACAACAAAAAGTTTCTATGAGTAATATTTTAAAATGTAACATTTAAAAAAAATTTTTATTGATTTTAGAGAGGGAAGGAAAGAGAGAGAGAAACATCAATGAGGGAGAACATCAATTGGCCGCCTACTGCATGCCCCCCAATGGGGATTTGGCCCACAACCTGGGCATGTGCCCTGACCAGGAATCCAAACAGTGACCTCTTGGTGCATGGGTCAACGCTCAACCACTTAGCCACACTGGCCTGGCCAAAATGTAACATTATTTTTGTTGTTAATGCTCACCTGAGGATATTTTTTCCATTGACTTTTAGAGAGTGGAAGGGAATGAGGGGGAAAGACAGAGAGAAGCACCAATGTGAGAGAGACACATCGATTGGTTGCCTCCTGCACACGCCTCTACCAGGGCTGGGAATCAAACCTGCAATCCAGATATGTGCCCTTGACTGGGAATCAAACCTGTGACCCTTCACTGTGCAGGCCAACGTTCTAACCAGTGAGCCACACTGGCTAGGGCTAATGTACTACTTTTTATAATTATGGTAATGCAAGGCCAATATACATATTTGGATTTTTCAGAGAATATGAAAAATGCCATAATCCAATCATCCAAAGAAAATACTTGTCAGCTTATTATCATCGTCCTATATTTAGTCAAGATAAAGCCAATCTCAGAACCTCTTTAGAGGAATACTTCATCTTACAAAGTTCCTGCCAATGAGATACATTTAGCTTATGTTTATTTTTTGTCTATCCTTTCTACTTATCAAAGCTAATTGGATCACATTTGACCAACTTTCAGTTCACTCCTGTTTTTCAAAACGGAAAACAGTCATTTTCATTTTAGCAGGTCCACTCAACTTGCCAATTTGAGAATATTAAGTAAAGACATTTACATACAGAATAGGATAATACTATTTATTTTTTAAACTAAAAGTTGTGCCATGCATAGAAAAAAGACTAGATTACATGAATGAAATGGACAAAATCCCATATCCTCTGTTTTCTTTCCTGACATCACGTATATCATGTAATAAACGTGCTGATTTTGTTTAGGAAGATCCCATTTTTAAATTTTCAGGAAGATAGCATGTAATATAGTTGCCGTCTCGTGTGTAACCAGTCAGAATGCTTGCTAAGTGGTATAAGTATACATAACCAAATAAATAAGACATTACTAGAAATTTAAAAATCTTTATTTGTATTTTTAGTTTTCCATAAATATTATTTTAAAAGTTATGATTAGCCTGTTTAGAAATGTACTCTCTCCCTTGTAGCTGATGGAAAATATAAATCTATTTAGTGAAAATAAACTTCAATGGCTCTGTCCCCTGTGGCTTAGTTTGTTGAGCTGGTTCAATTCCCTGTCAGAGCCCAGGTTACCGGCTCCATCCCCAGTGTAGGGCATGCAGGGGGCTCATTGATGTTTCTCACTCATCCATGTTTCTCTCTCCCTTTCCCTTTCTCTCTCTAAAATAAGAAAAAAAAAAACATTAAAAAAATAAACTTCGATGAATTTTATATGAAGAGAGAAATCTTCAGATGTGTGCCAATTAAAAAATAATCATTTTCCCATAAAATAGTTTTATTGAGCCGTGGCTGGTTTGGCTCAGTGGTTGAGCATTGGCCCACAAACCAAAGAGTCGTGGGTTTGATTCCAGTCAAGAGCACGTACCTGGTTTCCAGTTTGGTTCCTGACCCTGATCGTGGTTGTGCAGGAAGCAGCCAATCAATGTATCTCTCTCACATCGCTGTTTCTCTCTCTCTCTCTCCCTCCCTCCCTCCCTTCCACTTCCACTCTATCTGAAGATGAATGGAAAAGTATCCTCGGGTGAGGATTTAAAAAAAAAAGTTTTACTGAATTTCTGATTGTAAAATATGCATTCTAAAGTATTTTTGATGTGCTTTGGAACAGAAGAGAAAATGTGTTAAGAAGAAACTTTTAAAAGGTTTCCTTCAACACCTTGTTTACTAAGATCATGGGTGTTTTTAAGTTTTATCTGTTTCCCCTAAATCAATAGTATGATTTAATCTCTATATTAAAGTTTGATTTGTAAAAGAGGAAACAAACTGTCAATCAACTTAAAGAGAGTGAAGAACATGATGAAAACTTATTGAAAAAGGAACAACAAACAAGAATAATGAATTTCAAATTACTTCTGAATCCTTTATTTAGAAATACAAACTTAGTCGTCCTTACTATGTAAATACCTCAGTTCATTTTACTCTGTTCATTGGTAAAATGGCCTATTTTCCAGGGCTGCTCTGGGAACCAAAACAAGTAAAGAACATGGAAGCTGTATTTAACTGCTTCTTGTGTTCATCTGCACATGGAAGACCCAATCT